ATTTGAATTATGTATTCTAAGAAAATATATTAACACACTCTTGAGGAAAAAAGGGCATATTGTGTAAAAAAATGTATTTTAAAAAAAAATTCAAATTCTAGAACATCAAAGCATCAAAATTAAGGTGGTTATAATGATGCCAGTAATATTAAAAAGCATACTTATTATTGCTATTAAATGATCATTCCTAGGAGAAAAGAGGCAAAAGGCTCATTCTCATACAAAACTAAAATCAAAGCAAAGTGTAAGCCTTCTAATACATAAGATACTTAAATTATTCTACTATGATCAAGAGGCATAGTTCAACCTGATGAATGCATATATATTATAAATATATAAAAATGTAAGACTTTTATATTTCACAGTGTTAGTACATTCTTTGAACAATGAAAATGTAAAACAAAACCCTAGGCAGGCCCAGTTTTGAGGCCTTACCTGAAAATATTTTATGTTTTCTTTTAATTTTATTATGTGAATGAAAGATTTAATCCTCTGAACAGCTAAATAATCATGAAAAGTACTCTCTGTGCTAAGAAATGTACATCAGAAGTTTCAAATGGCTAAGGGCAAAGGCAAATTTAAAAGGCTAGCTCAAGAATTCTACTTTTCCCTTTGATGTTGCTCTTTGGCAAAAGGAATTTGTCTTTCTGAGAAATCGCCTGTGCTTTCTCCCCACTAGTGCATCAGGAATTCCTTCCAATGGCAAGTTCACCGACGCTTTGAAACATGAAAGTGCTGTTGGCTGGTTTTGTTTTGGTTTTTATTTACTACTCTCTTCATTAACTCTCTCTTCTCTTTCACTGACAAATTGAAAAATTCCTTTTCATTACCAAATTGAACAGGAAACAGATATTACTTCCCTTCCAATTTTTCTAACTTATAATTGTGACTATTCCATAGACTCTTTCATTCAATCCTCCCTCAGTATCTGTTCTCAGCAGAGACAACAGCTATTCTAGCCTCTGGCCACAACCCCCACCTGCAGTAGTAAGCCTCTGAACGTGCCTACAGTCCTTGAATCCTATGGAGCCCTACAATTAATTTAGCATCTCTTCAAACACAAGTAGCTTAAAATAAACCTCTCAAACTCTGAAATGCCAGGGAGCCAACATTCCCGTTCCTTTCCCAGAACTAAACTTGAAGGTGCCCTTCAGTCAGTCACTAAGCATTCGGCTCTCCATAAAGTGTCTGCCCTTTCTACTGCCACAAAAAACAAAACAAAACAAAAAAAAAACACTAAAGTGGGTATAGTTAGAACATCTTTTCATTCATTTCCATTCTCCATTTCTATTCATATCCAACAGAACCTTCATAACGTCACCAAGCCAAGACTCTTAAAGCAATAAGAATTTTACATTGAAGACTACTGTTAATAGGAATAATTTCTGGTGTATAGTTTGTTGGTGTTCTGACCAGTAACTTTTTTTCTCAAAGATACTCTTAATGTCAGTGAAGATACACATGCAATGATACAATGCTAGTTCAAGAACAAACAGATACAAGAGAGACGTCCAAGAGGGCAGCTTGATTATACACACCATGCAACCATATTCCTCGCTGCCAAAGGAGAACTGTGAAACCAAGTGAAATAGGGGGGATGACCACGTAGGTACCCAGAAAAGCCAAGAGATGGATGAAGAGTTAGTGAAAACACTGAGGGAAGGAGAAACAGAGTAAAAACCAGCAAATGAGAAGACCTGTAGAAAACAAACACCCGACCAGCTAGCCCAGGGTAGTAAGCTCATCTTAAGACAAAGTGAATGGCATTTCTGGGTCAAGGATACAAAAAGAAAACCTCAAAGAATACCAAGCAGCAGACAGAGATATTGTGAAGATAAACCCAGTGCAAAGTAAGGTGAGCAGTACATAAACTGCGTCTAGGGAGAGAGACTGTAGGAAAAGCAAAGGACAGTGATGGACCCAAGTGACCAAAGAGCACAAGAGGGGCTAGGAAACAGAGGAAGAAGTAGTCACCAACAGTGCCCATGACAACCTGAGTGAACGGCACTGATGGAGTGAAATATCCCTGGGGTAGCATTCGGATAGCCTCCGCCCAGACGGCTTCTAGACAGCACCTGCTAGACTGACAGAGATTAGAACTCTTATGACTATCACCCTAAAAAACTTTAGAATTACAGACTTCTTATCCAGAAGAAGAGTTGATCCTAGCTTTAAAATGTATGTCTATAGAATTCCTGAAAATTTAAGATAGTATATTATAAAATATATATGCAAAATCGGTTATTTTTTATTTTATAATCACTTAGAAATAAAGGCATTGATGCTATTTCTGCAGGTGATGATTCAGCCAAGTAGACTGTGCCCATGAAGAATGCACTCCCACCACAACAAGATAAATAACCCAAAAGAAAAATGGGCACAGGATATGAACAG